CAGCCACATCAAGTGGCTGTAAGCGATGGCTACAATGTGGTGGGAAAGTTAAAATAATTATATGATTTTTCCTAGCGAATTCTATGACTGAAACGTTTACGTGTGTACAATGATTATCCATAAGGATCAACATAGGATTTTCTTCTGTTGGATTAACATATTTCATAAAATGCTGAAGTGCTGATACGAAACATTCTTCATTCATCCAACCGCTACTATTAGCTAAGCCAAGAGCTCCTACTGGGCCATTAACTAACATAATATCCTTGTAATGAACTCTTGGAAATATAAAAACCGGTGGCAGTGAGGATCCAGAAGCATTGATCATGAAAAGTACTGTCACTAAGTTGCCTCGTTCAGCGGAAGTAACCTGTCCCACTTGCTTTGTCCCACGCTGAGCTATTACTTTTGGAGGAGTTGTGACAGTACTGCAACCAGTCTCATCAAGGTTAAAAATCAAATGTGGTGGAAATTTATACTTGGTCATAAGTGCGGTTAATTTGTCAAAAAACATTTTAACATTTGTTTTGTTGAAACTAGTGGCCCTTGAAAGAGAAGTGGCTTCAGGTTTGCGAATTGTTAGACTTTTGTGGCGCTTCATAAAACCCTGCAGCCAGTCAATACTTGCTTCTTTATTTGATTTCCATTTGTCTGGGGTAACGGAAAGTGTTTCAGCATATTGAAATGCTAAATTTCTTGTTTGTTTGTATGACAGGCCATGACACATTTTTGATGTTATCTTGAGATAGTCTTCTAAATCATTTTCCTGTTGTAATGTAAATATGCGTCTATTGCCTATATATTAGGACAGTGAACATATGGATTATCTGATTCTTTTGCTCTATTTACAATTCTAGCCAAGTACGTTCTTGAGATATTACGAGCGAGTGCAATGCTGTTGATGCTGTGACCATATTCAATAACTTCTTTAACGGCTTCCTGGATAACAGTAACAGAAGGTCGCTTCTTTTTCTTTGGTCTATCTTTAGTATTGTTTGAGGACATTTTGATCTGAAAAGGGTGAAATCGATAATCGCTATAACCTAAACCTAAACATAACCTATAAACCATAAGAAATGTCATTTTATAATACAGAAATACTTAAAAATCTATTTACCTACAATAAGTATGCACAGGGATGTTCCTCGGAGAAGGAGGCTGT